GATTGAGGGAACTCAGGGCTGTCAGAACTGATTTAAGGGCTTTTCAGAGGCATTCTGAGACTGTCTCAAAAGGAATCAACCCTGTACGTTCAGCCGTGCCGGTTCTAATTGATTTCGTAATCCATGTACTATTGAAATTTGAATAAGCCCAGGTGTGTGTTACTGCTCGTGACTGAGGGAACTCAGGGCTGTCAGAACACTTCAGGCACCTACTTTGGGACAATCTGAGACTGTCTGAAAAGGAATTAACCCTGTACGTTCAGCCGTGTCGATTCAATTCGATTTCGAAATTCATGTACTATTGAAATTCGAATAAGCACAGGTGCGTGTTACTACTCGTGCCTGAGAGAACTCAGGGCTGTCAGAACCCTTTCAGCACCTACTTTGGGACAATCTGAGACTGTCTGAAAAGGAATTAACCCTGTACGTTCAGCCGTGTCGATTCAATTCGATTTCGAAATTCATGTACTATTGAAATTCGAATAAGCACAGGTGCGTGTTACTACTCGTGCCTGAGAGAACTCAGGGCTGTCAGAACCCTTCAGGCACCTACTTTGGGACAATCTGAGACTGTCTGAAAAGGAACTAACCCTGTACGTTCAGCCGTGTCGATTCAATTCGATTTCGAAATCCATGTACTATTGAAATTCGAATAAGCCCAGGTGCGTGTTACTACTCGTGCCTGAGAGAACTCAGGGCTGTCAGAACACTTCAGGCACCTACTTTGGGACAATCTGAGACTGTCTGAAAAGGAATTAACCCTGTACGTTCAGCCGTGTCGATTCAATTCGATTTCGAAATTCATGTACTATTGAAATTCGAATAAGCACAGGTGCGTGTTACTACTCTTCCCTGAGAGAACTCAGGGCTGTCAGAACCCTTCAGGCACCTACTTTGGGACAATCTGAGACTGTCTGAAAAGGAATTAACCCTGTACGTTCAGCCGTGTCGATTCAATTCGATTTCGAAATTCATGTACTATTGAAATTCGAATAAGCACAGGTGCGTGTTACTACTCTTCCCTGAGAGAACTCAGGGCTGTCAGAACCCTTCAGGCACCTACTTTGGGACAATCTGAGACTGTCTGAAAAGGAATTAACCCTGTACGTTCAGCCGTGTCGATTCAATTCGATTTCGAAATTCATGTACTATTGAAATTCGAATAAGCACAGGTGCGTGTTACTACTCGTGCCTGAGAGAACTCAGGGCTGTCAGAACCCTTCAGGCACCTACTTTGGGACAATCTGAGACTGTCTGAAAAGGAATTAACCCTCTACGTTCAGCCGTGTCGATTCAATTCGATTTTGAAATCCCATGTACTATTGAAATTTCGAATAAGCCCCAGGTGCGGTGTTACTACTCGTGCCCTGAGAGAAACTCAGGGGCTGTTCAGAAACACTTTCAGGCACCCTACTTTTGGGACAATCTGAGAACTGGTCTCAAAAAGGAATTTAACCCCTGTACGTTCGCCCGGGTCGATTCAATTCGGATTTCGGAAATCCAGGTACTATTGAAATTCCGAATAAGCCCCAGGGGGCGGGGTTACTACTCTTCCCCTGAAAGAACTCAGGGGTTGGTCAGAAACCCTTCCGGGACCCTATTTTGGGACATTCTGAGAACTGTTCTAAAAAGAGATAACCCCGTACGTTCCGCCCGGGCCGTTCAATTTCGATTTC